GATTTCCAGGCGACCCCGGACCCCCGGGAGAAATGGGACCCAGGGTGAGTGGGGTGTCCCACCCCCCTTTGGATTTTTCCCACCCCCTCTGGGGGTTTTTCCCCCCCGATTTCTGTGGGATTTGGGGGGATTTGCGGGATCTTGCGCCGATTCCAGGATTTTTCCCATCCCACCAGGGCCAGGATGGTGCCAAGGGCGAGCGCGGAGAGGACGGCGAGCCCGGAGAGCCGGTGAGCCCCCCGATCCTGCCAGATCCCCCAGGAGATCTGGGATGGGATCGACCCCACTGGAAGATTTGGGATGGGATTGACCCTGCTCCTTCGGGAATGGTGGGGGACAGGGATCCCTTCTGTGACCATTGGATCTGGTCCCACTGGTCCCAGTATCCCCCTTCCCGTGGTCCAGGGATCCCCATAGTCCTGGGATCCCCCTCCCCACCAGATCCCCCTGGAAGATTTAGGATGGGATTGACCCCATTCCTTTGGGAACATCGGGGAACAGGGATCCCTTCTGTGACCATCGGATCTGGTCCCACTGGTCCCACTGGTCCCAGTATCCCCCTCCCCATGGTCCCGGGATCTGTGACCATCAGATCTGGTCCCACTGGTCCCACTGGTCCCGGGATCCTCCTCCCCATGGTCCTGGGATCTCTGTGACCATCAGATCTGGTCCCACTGGTCCCACTGGTCCCGGGATCCTCCTCCCCATGGTCCTGGGATCTCTGTGACCATCAGATCTGGTCCCACTGGTCCCACTGGTCCCGGGATCCTCCTCCCCATGGTCCTGGGATCTCTGTGACCATCAGATCTGGTCCTACTGGTCCCACTGGTCCCACTGGTCCCACTGGTCCTCAGATCCCCCTCCCCATGGTCTTGGGATCTGTGACTCGTCTTGGGATCGGTGCCCATCAGATCTGGTCCCACTGGTCCCACTGGTCCCAGGATCCTCCTCCCCATGGTCCCGGGATCTGTGACCATCAGATCTGGTCCCACTGGTCCCAGTGGTCCTACTGGTTCTGGGATCCCCCTCCCCATGATCCTGGGATCTCTGTGACCATCAGATCTGGTCCCACTGGTCCCACTGGTCCCGGGATCCTCCTCCCCATGGTCCTGGGATCTCTGTGACCATCAGATCTGGTCCTACTGGTCCCACTGGTCCCACTGGTCCCACTGGTCCCAGGATCCTCCTCCCCATGGTCCCGGGATCTGTGACCATCAGATCTGGTCCCACTGGTCCCTCTGGTCCTGGGATCCCCCTCCCCATGATCCCAGGATCTGTGACCATCAGATCTGGTCCCACTGGTCCCACTGGTCCCAGGATCCTCCTCCCCATGACCATCAGATCTGGTCCCACTGGTCCCTCTGGTCCTGGGATCCCCCTCCCCATGATCCCAGGATCTGTGACCATCAGATCTGGTCCCACTGGTCCCACTGGTCCCAGGATCCTCCTCCCCATGGTCCTGGGATCTCTGTGACCATCAGATCTGGTCCTACTGGTCCCACTGGTCCCACTGGTCCCACTGGTCCTCAGATCCCCCTCCCCATCGTCTTGGGATCTCTGACCATCAGATCTTGTC